ATGCATTAATGCATTAATGAATATATTGGACCATATGTCCTACTTTTGATATCTCAATACATTAAGTGGTCTGGAGTATTTTTTAAATTGTTCATCACAAGGAATAGGTGAGTCATCATATGAGGACCCTGGCCAAGCCCACGGGGCTGAATATCCAGGAATCACTTCTGAGGCTATTTATTTCACTTGAGGCAACCCAGCACAGGAAGAAACACAAAAGGGCCTCTGAGAAAACTCCTTTAAAAAGAACCAAGAGTCAAGCTGGAAGGCCAGCAACAAGCATCAAGTTCAAAGGTGGGTTGCCTTGGTCACCTGTGGGATTGGCCTCTTGGCGCTATTTAGGGGTACTGCCTCTTGCTATTTACATGGTTCCATGGAAGCTGGTATGTGTTTCAATGACTCTGACCTCACCCCAATACCAAGGCATAGTTGATTTGTTTATGGTGGACACATGAGTCAAGAAACAAGTGAATCCTTTTCAAGGGAATTGGGACAAAATAGAATGTGAGATACATTTCTTTGTTGGAATTTGTAGTTTTAAGAGTAAGGCCTAGAGCCTGAGGATGTGCAAATATTCTGCCAAGGGTAATATTATATAAGGGGATTTTTAAAAGAAAGTGTGTGTAATGTTTGCTTCTTGTAAAGGTCCAAATTAATTCCCAAGTTATTTATTTAGGGAAGGATGTAAAAGTTTCAGTATACTAAAATATGTCAATCAGAAGTATTTTCTAACACCATCCCTTTATGTTCTTCTCAACTAAAACTATGTAATAATTTGAGTCTTCCTTCACAGGTTTCTTGGGATTCTGCTTAGTGAGCTTATTCTCCTTAAACTGTTTTAGAGATTTAATCAGAATTCAATTAAAATGCCTTTACATCAACCCCTGTTTCAGAAGGTGAGGGGTAGGCAAAAAAAGATCTCTTACCGTTCAATTTTATGGATATGTTCCCAACACAGCGTCTCCTTCATCAACTATCTCTTTCTTTCATACTCAAGATGATTAACAGAGATGTTAGCTCTGGTGAATTGTGTTATTTTTTTTAACTGTTTAACCATTTAATTAATTTTTGTGTGTGTGTTATTTTGTTTACCTTACAGTAAGTTCAGGGGTACAAATGCAGGTTTGTTATATGGGTAAACTTGTGTCATGGGGGTTTGTTATACAGATTATTTCATCACACATGTATTAAGCCTAGTACCCAGTGGTTATTTTTCCTGATCCTCTCCCTCCTCCCACCCTCCTCCCTCTGATAGGCCCCAGTGTATGTTTGTCCCCCATGTGTTCTCATCATTTAGCTTCCATTTATAAGGGAGAACATGCAGTATCTGGTTTTCTGTTCCTGCATTAGTTTGCAAAGTATAATGGCCTCCATCTCCATCCATGTCTTCACTGGTGACTCCACGAGGCCCTTGTCCACTAGGCTTCTTCTTGTTAGTCCTCCATATAAGAGCACTATTCCTTCTGCTCCTTGGCTGTCAAACTTGTCATCACTTGCTTTAGTCAATGGAATGTGAGCATATGTGATGTATGCCATGTCTGAACAGAAATGTTATAAACAATTGTGAGATTCAGTCATTGTTCCCTTCCCTCTACTATGAGAATGGCGTACTCCCACTATGGGCTTCTCCTTTAGCCTGGAACTTACGACAGAGAAGACACAGAGAGCAGAGACAGTGGACCTTCAGGCACCATTTAATATGAACAAGAAATAAACCTCGTTACGGTAAGTTACTGATATTTTGGGGCTGTTTGTTACTCTAGCATAACCTAGAGAAAATTGACCCTACAACAGCCAATGGCTCTTTTTCCCTTCTTACTTGACGCAGTGATACAGGACCTTCTATTCTTTGGTAGAGAGAAGACAAAATAGCTACATGTGAAAATTCTCAAGATACCATGCAAGATAGAAAGACTACAGAGCATCCTGTGCTTTTGTCTCATTTCCTTGTTATAAGTTATATAAATTCTTTCCTGGGGAAAACATGGATTAAGCCTTGCTGTATCATACCCTCTTAATGACAGCTTACGAATTCCATATGTTCAAAAAAATAAGACAAAGTCATGTGACAAATAGTTCAAATCTCTCTGAGTCTGATTAGGCAGGAATGACCAAGAGACCATAGCATATTTCACATCTCAATTTCTTCTTGTTGATTGTGAACAGACGGGAGCTATGCTATTTAAGGAAAAGTAGATTTTGGCATTTGGCCATTATCCAAAGCAAACTGAAAGAGGGGGCAGTATTCATCTGGCTCAGTAACAGAAGACAACTAAAAATAGGCACCCAGCCCAAAGCCAGCCAGGCTGTGAGTTGCTAGGCAAGAATGCTTTTTTCCACAGCAGTCTAGGGTCCTCCATTCACAAGTTTTCCATTGGCTATAAATCTGTCTAAGATATTCATTTCATTGCTGTGTTTGATTAACATCCACCTCTATGGCCTCTTCATTTTATATTAATTTGAGATACAATTTAAGATAACTTACAAACTGAAGCCAGTCTGGTTTTTCTCAACCTGTTGAGACTAAGTGTTATACTCTTAGCTTTCAGAAGTTTCTGCCAAATGCTACTATTAATATTTCATTCTGAAAAGCAACCTTTTCCTCTAGCTACAAAAGTTACACTATAACCTTAAAGGTGTGGTCCTCTGAGTGTTACTGATATTAACATTAGATGCATTAATTGAGTTGCCATTTATTATTGAGCAATTGCTAGAATTGCTGTGTTTTTCTACAGACAGAGGAGTAGTTGAATATACAATATTAGTCTCTTAGAACAAGGCCATATTTCTCTGTCTATGCTGCATTGACCATGATTTGAGACTCCCAGCCAGAGAAGTAAAACAACTGAGAACTAGTGTATATATAAGCATAGTGCTGGTAAATGGGACAGGTTATGGGAAGAACAAAAATGAACTAGAACTCCTGAAACTCACAAGTGGCTATTATACCATTCTCAGCAGACCTCACTTCTTTATACATATTTGAAATGCTGTTGATAAAATTATACCTTAAAATTAAATAAACAGGCTGAATACAATGGCTTATGCCTGTAATCCCAGCACTCTGGGAAACCGAGGATTGCTTGAGTCGAGGAGTCCGAGACTAGTCTGGGCAACATATTGAGATCCCATCTCTGTTTTAATAAATTAAAAAAAATTAAAATGATATAAACAAACTACAAAAACATGATACAACATGGAAGAAACACAAAATTAATATTGAACAAAGGAGACCAGATACAAAAGAATACCGGGTGTATAACAGCATTTGTGAAGTTCAAAACCACATAAAAGTAATCTGTAGAAGTCTGATTGTCTTTGCAGAGAAAGGAGATGCTGGAAATTGGGATGAACATGAGGAAGCCTTCAGGGTTAGTAGTCATATTTTATTTCTTGACCCAAGTGGTAGTTACACAGATGTGTTCCATCCATGATGCTTCCTCAAAGTGTATACTTAAAATTTTTGCACTTTTCTACAGACATGTTACACTTTAATAAAAAAGGGGAAAAATCATACTCCGTAACTAAAGGCACAATCTTGGGTGGCAATGTATTATTAGCTATGTAGCTATTATCGGTTCTTCTTTATATATGAACTTGTGAACTACATGTCATGATTTATTTTGAAACACTGCATTGTACTTCTGTAAGTCCATTAAACCATATTTTATTCTTTTGCTAGCTCTTTCTAAGCAATTAACAACCTCTGTCTCTTGAACATGGGCAAAGTCTGACCTACAATTAAATGTGGACTGACTCACACGTTTCAAAACACATTAAGGCAATGCTCATTGATTTCCATAATCTCATTGCCCCTGAAGCTAAGCCTACTCGTTCTTATGTGTTCCAGTCATAGAGAACATTTACGTCAATTTGACCTAGTTCTTTATTTCATGGAATTTTTAAAGATTAGATAGCTCCAGTGAAAACCAGGTAAATTTCATATCCCGAGATGATTTAGCTCCATGTAGATTTCGTTTCTTCTTCTTCTTCTTATTTATTATTATTTTTTGAAACGGAGTCTTGCTCTGTTGCCCAGACAAGACTGGAGTACAATGGCATCATCTGGGCTCACTGCAACCTCTGCCTCCAGGGTTCAAACAATTCTTCTGCCTCAGCCTCCCAAGTAGCTGGGACTACAGGTGCGTGCCACCACACCCAGCTAATTTTTTGTATTTTTAGTAGAGAAAGGGTTTCACCGTGTTAGCCAGAATGGTCTTGTTCTCCTGACCTTGTGATTCGCCTGTCTTGGCCTCCCAAAGTGTTGGGATTACAGGCGTGAGTCACAGCGCCTGGTCCCATGTAGATTTCTGAACACAGTTCAGTTATCTGCTGGATACACTTCAGGATCTTTTTGTTTTTGTTTTTGTTTTTGAAACCTGCTTCTTTATCTTGGATTTTTAACATAACACACCGTATCTATATGCACTCTGAGCTCTTAAAACCTCTGAAACTTTACCTGCAAAAGGTGGTCCCAACAACGCAGAGATGCCATTAGCACAGATGATGATGCCGTAGGAATTTGCTAAATGTTCAATGCCAACCAAGTCTTCAGCCACTATGGGCATTAGAGAGAAATAACTGCTGGAAAACCCTATCAGTGCGCAGATGACCACCAGGCCAGCATAAGTGTGCACCAATAGCAGAATTTAAAATGCTGAGGAGGCCGGCTGCGGTGGCTCACACCTGTAATTCCAGCACTTTGGGAAGACGAGGCGGGCGGATCACAAGATCAGATCAAGACCATCCTGGCTAACATGGTGAAACCGCGTCTCTACTAAACATACAAAAACAAAATTAGCTGGATGAGGTGGCGGGCGCCTGTAGTCCCAGCTACTCAGGAGGCTGAGGTGGGAGAATGGCGTGAACACAGAGTCAGAGCTTACAGTGAGCTGAGATCGTGCCACTGCATGGCAGCCTGGGCGACAGCACGAGACTTCGTCCCCCCCCCAAAAAAAAAAAAAATCAAAAACAACAAAACAAAACAAAAATACTGAGGACAAGACTGAAGTTGGCCAACAGGAAGACATTCCAAACACTGATGCAAGGTAAGTCAGCTATGACGCCCAGGATCACTTTTCCAAAAATGTGAACTACTGCTATAATTGAAGTCAGAGGGAAAACGTCGCTTGCTCCAATAAGTTACACAAACTGACGATTTCTGGGAGATGAATAAAGGAGATGACAAAGCTGCTGTATGCAAACGAAGCCCAGAAAATAAAGGCTACAAACATTCGATTTGTAAACAGAGAGGCTGTCCCAAAATAGCCTGAGTACCAATCCTCAGAGTCCTTCTTGACTCTCATGGTAAGCCAGCTGACATTCTTCAGAACCGGAGAGAGCCCATGATCCGGCCTGATGGGGCACTCCTGGGCTTGCAGGTCACAGAGGGTCTCCTCGTTCCCAGACCCACCGTCCTTCTCTCCTGTTCTTCCCTGCTGTCCATTTGACATCACATATTCCGTGGAGTGCGCAGGCAGGATGCGCAGATCTTTCTCTCCTGGATCGTTTGGGTTTTTCCCAGAAGGAAGGGGCCTCATGAGGGTCCCACAAACACAGGTTTAAGGAAACCGTGCCTTGGATCAACATGGCATTCCTCCAGCCGTACTCTGCGCACAAGTACTTCAATAGCACAGTCATTAGGAACATACCGAATCTGGTCCCCTTAGTGCTGAGGCCCTGGACCAGGGCGCGTCTCTTCTGGAAATACCTGCCCACAATGACCACCGCTGACAGGCCATCCCGCTGCCCAGGCCAACTGCCGCGCCAAAAGTAATGAAGAGATAATGCACATTTGCAGCGTAGGCACTCAACACCCAGCCCAGGGAGTTGACGAGCCCTCCAATGATTGCAGTCCGGAGGCGCCCACAGGTGTTAATGAACAAGCTGATGAAAGGGCTGCCCGAGGCTCGCTGGCCTGCGGACTCACTCGGCTCCACGCCCAGATCCTCAAACTTGCTTTTCTGCTTGGAGCCCCCTGAGCTGCTAGGTGTAGAGATTTGTTGCAATGTCGCCTATCATCCTGGAGATGCGGGTGCCTGCGGCTCAGCTCTCCAGCGGGCTCGGTGCGCTGGGTGAGGGGCTCCCGTGCTCTTCTGCCGCTCGCTGCCAGGCCAGGTGAGAGTTTGGTGGAGCTGAAAGTTGGACGCCTCACTCCAGGTGGTTTTAAAAAGGGAGCGTTTGGAGGCGCCCAAACCTAACCTGGGCTTCCTTCCAATCGGAGCAATTTCCAATCTTCCTGCTCGTTCATTCCTATACCGGCTAATTCTGGTTTGGCAGGAGGAAAAAAAAGTGCAGTCACCTCACATGCACACTCTTGTTGCCAGTTGAAGTTTATTGATTTGGCTGAGGTTCCCCTAAGGCACTGCATATTTATCACTGGAGGAAAGGTCCTGAAACTAAATCCAGAATGCAGGTGAGACTAGCATTAGCCTCCATTTCTCTGAGATGGGAGAGAAGGGATGAAACAGACCCTCACTGCAATATTTTTGGCCAAAGAGGACTCAATGTAACTCAGTGTCCCTTATTTTTTTCTCTCTCTCTCTTTTAGAGACAAGGGTTTCACTGTGTTGCCAGGCTGGTCTTGAACACTTGGGGTCAAGTGATCCTCTGGCCTTGGCCTTCCAAAGTGCTGGGATCACAAGCTGAGCCACTGTGCCTGGCCAGTCCCTCATTCTTGGTCCCACTCTGGGTTCCACCTCTCCCTGCTCTTTCTGCATGTTCATTACCTACCTTCATGGGCACCAGGCACAACTTTCATCTCAATGCCTCCCTACCTCATTCCCAGCAGGGAACACAACACAATGCTTTACCTTGAACAATTTTCTGTATTATTGACGTGAATGCACGAGTTGATGAAGCCTGTGCTGTTTTACCCCTCCTGAAGGTTTTGTAGTGGTTCTCTACTGCTGTTGTAATAAATCACCACAGTAATAGCAGAGGAAAACCACACAAATTCACTATTTTACAGTGCTGGAGGTTGGAAGTTTGAAATGGGTCATACTGGGCTAAGATCGTGGTGTTGGCACCTTCAAGGCTGTGTTCCTTCTTGTGGCTCTAGGAGAGAGCCACCAGTTTCTGCAGTCCACGCACATTCCTTGGCTGGTGGCTCTTACTCCATCTTCAAAGCCAGCACTGCTGTGTCATTCTGTCTTCTTTCCATACTCACATTGCCGTGTCTCCTCTCCCAGACTATTATTCTTAAAACATCTAGGTACTTCCCATTTATTATTTATTTACTTATTTTTGAGGCATTTTCTTACTCTGTTGCCCAGGCTGGAGTGCAGTAGTATGATCACAGCTCACTGCAACTCCTGCCTCCTGGGTTCAAGGGATCCTTCTACCTCAGCCTCCCAAGTAGCTGGGACCACAAGTGTACACTAACACACCTGGCTAATTTTTGTATTTTTGGTAGAGAGAGGGTTCACCATATTGGTCAGGCTGGTCTTGAATTCCTGACCTTGAATGATTTGCCTGCCTCGGCCTCCCAAAGTGCTGGGATTACAGGCATGAGCCACTGCGTCTGGCCCCATTTGTGATTTCAATTATATTAGACTGATTATTTACCTGACTTGAGATTATTTTAAAGTGGAATTCATTTTGAATTCACTATCACTCAGGGTACTAGCAAATTCTTACTAAATCTTATGTCTGTTAATAGAAACATTTAATTTATAGTTAGGCACAGTTGGACGAGATCTAGTATGCTTTATAATTCTCTCCTCATATTAGGCACCTTGAGGTTGACTTAGGTGCCATGCACACCAATTAACATTAACATTTGTTTTTCCTCATAGATTCACTTACCCAGTAACTATAGCACTTCTATAAAGCTCAGTTTCCACCTATATATGCTGTGCAGGTATGTGATTAGACGTAATTCACATTAAAACCCATAGTTGGTTTCTGGCATGGGTGCTGAGTTTTCTTCATTTCTCCAGAAATCCTCATTAGTAGTTTCCAGATATGCTTTAAAGAGGAATGGGTTTTCTTTCCACGTCCTATAATTATTTGTAGCCAGGGAGATTTGGGTCAATTAAGTCATAATGACAGCCATGATCATAGTAGCTTATCACTATAAGGAACAGGATTGGGGATCCATATTAGAAAAGTTAACTTTTTGTCAAGTAAAATTTCTTAATATCCAGTAATTTGGAGGCATAAAATTATATTTTTCTTGGGCTCTAAAGCATTACTTCTTTTTGTATAATTAAGCTATTACATGTCTTCTGTATGGTGAAAGGAAATTTTCATTTTTACTTAATATTTTTGATGAATCGAAAGTCATGAGTCCTTGATTTAGTTTAATCAATAAGACATTTTATGTGTTTAATTATTGTTTTTAATGAAAGTTTTGTTTCAATTTCTATGAGTTTTTTTTTTTTTTGTATAAATGTACTAAATAAGTAAGCTTCACTTTTACTTTCTCCTCTTGGGCTTCAACAAAGAAATGTTTGAGTCTTATAGAATAGTACCTCCATGGTTATGACAAAATATACCTGGAGTTGGGGGAGAGGGGATTATAGATCAAATTTATTTCCTTCACTTAATTTTTTTATATTCCTTGGTCGTATCTGGTAGGAGGCAAGTGACAGAGATAGCATCATATAGGAAGGATCTATAAGACAGGCCACCAAAGAAAGGTTCTATTAATAGACTCAAACCTGCTAACATTTTAGAGTGGGGAGAATTTTAATCCATTCCATAGTCCCATTACATCCATTGCTTGAAGGTGAGAACAAATAGAAGTTTCGTTTTATATATATTCATATTATGAACCCATTCATAGACAATAGTAGTTGTGAAGTTTATTTCTTAAGCACATATATTGGGATCAGAGATTCTGTGTATTTGAACAACATTCTGCACAAGACTACACACTGTTGATACTGCCTTGCTGCCTTAACTAGAAAAGTGTTCCTATAACCTGAATGAGAATAATATATATGTACACATTTGTTTTTATGTGGAAGGCCTAATATGTCCCAGCAATGGACATACAAGTATTGTTATATGTATGAAAAGATAATCTCACTCATAATGAGAGAAATGCATTACAGCCAATCTGAGATCCTATTTTTTAATATATAAGACTAGTGATATCAAAACTTTTAATAACATTACGTTAAAGATGGAGGGAATACAAATTCTTACAACTTCTATGGAATGTAATTTGGCAATGGTTATCAAAATGACAGTGCATTTGTACTATGGCCCACATTTCCCTTTCTAGGAATTTATTTTACAGATGTACTTGCACTATGTAAAATGATGTATATAGAAGAATATTCATTGAAGGATTATAACTGTAATAACAAAAGACCAGGCCAGGTGCAGTGGCTCATGCCTGTAATCCCAACATTTTGGGAGGCCGAGGCCAGTGGATCACCTGAGGTCAAGAGTTTGAGACTAGCCTGGCTGACATGGTGAAACCTTGTCTCTACTGAAAATACCAAAACTAGCCAAGCGTGGTGGCAGGCGCCTGTAATCCCAGCTCCTTGGGGGGCTGAGGCAGGAGAATCACTTGAACCCAGGAGGCGGAGATTGCAGTCAGCCGAGATTGCACCATCGCACTCCTACCTGGGGGACAAGAGCGAGACTTTGTTTTAAAACAAACAAACAAACAAAAAGAAAACAAAAGCAACTTAAATACCAATCAATATGAAAGAAATTAAATATAGAAAAGTACATTCATACAGTAGCACCATGAGCAGTCATTTAAAAATAATAGAGACACTTTTTATGTATTGAATTGGAATGTTTTTTCAGATACATAAGTTGTCAAAGCAAGGTGCTGAACAGTGTCTGTAATATACTACTATTTATGCAAAAAAGGTAAGAATAATGAGTGTTTGCTTGTATAACACAAGTATAGTGTTAAGCATAACAAATCTCTGGTGGAATACGTGAGAAACTGATAAGGGTGGTGTCCCTGAAGAAGAGTAAATGAGTGACTGGGGAACAAACAGGGATAGAAGGATGCATTTTCATTATCTGTTCTTTTATTTGTTTTGAATTTTAAAATGTATGAATAAATTACCTACTCAAAAATTAAACACAGGAAAATAAAGACAAGAATTTATTTTCCTGATCAGTGATCTCCTTCTGTTAATATTTAAAATATCATCCTCATATTAGACACTATTTCAGATCCGGAACAATTGCAGTTGGCACAAACTCATTTAACTTCCAACCGTCCACAGTGAATATGCAGGAACTGTCTTCATATTCAACTAGTTGGTGATTTAAGAGCTAGTAAGTTGGATGGATTACCCAGTTCCTCTCACTCTCAACCCCCATCTGTGATTTCAATCCCTTCTTCTCAGTCATGGTACAGTTTCCTATTTATAATTGTGGTGAGGTGGGGATAATTCCAGAAGTTTCTGTTTCATGTCCTATTATCAACCCTGCTTGGTATTTGCATTTCAAATTCAAGCCACAGCTCCTCCTTTCTGCCATGTTACTCTAAATACACACTACAGTGGAGGTAAATTTACCCCAGGGGCTATCTTTAGTCCTCTAACAACAAAAAATATATCACAATT